CAGTAGTCTTTAGGGTATAAGACCCTTCTGAGAGTGTGTACAGATTTACATATCAAAAATAGTAGTGTATAGGGTCCTTTTAATGCTTTGAGACTACTAGATACAATTCTGTTTCTAAATGATTTAATTACAGGTTAATGAAGTAACGGACTTGGATACCGTGTTACATGGAGAAATAATCTTTCTCTGCTCTTCATACTGAGCATAGACCTTTTCCATTTGCAATGGTATTCACATATTCAGGACTGAAATCACCATTATCCATGCCTTGAGAGTAGGGCAGACTCTTGTCATAATATTATATTATAATCCTTCCAAAGATAATGAGGTGACTGTTGTTGCATTTCAAAACAGCATGACCAAGATGAGCATTTGATCCAGCAGCTACATTCCTCCAGAAGTACTAAGATACTTGCAGCTATTTGATATGGAGCTATTTTGTCCCTCAATTGGGAAATAAATAGGTCAGGCAAGGCCTTTGAAAGGAATTTAATAGGTACATCTCATACTTGCAGAGAAGCATGAAACTCTACTGCTAAAATGAAATTGGGTTCATGAAAGGTCACAGTTATCTTTTAAAGTAAGATTTTTGCATGTCTGAAGAGTAAATATTGCATTAAAGGCAAGGTTAGAGTCTGTTTTACTGGTAATATTACAAGTTTTCTTCTTTCCTCCAGATTATGATATAGCTTCGTGCAAGCTAAGCAGCCAGCCTGCTAGATTTGACTTTTGCTTTATTGCTGTATAGTGACATGCCAGACTAGTCAGGCATCAAGTAGTAAGTACGTGAAGAACCATGAGCGGCCACAATAACAAGAAAATACTTTTTATTATTTTGTTGGTGGCTTTTAAGTCTTGCCATCAGTTTTTTGGAAACTATTGTGACATGGATAGCAATCACAAGTTGGCTATACAGTGAAGCTAATTTGCCTGTTTAAGCACAATCGCTTACAAATTTGAGAAAGGGTCTAAAAAGGACTCCATGTATCTTTAAATATATATAGATAACCATATAGATAGATTCATAGATATCTATACATGTATATCTATATATATTTAAACAGAGATATATGAAGCATTTATAACCATGCTTTGCTTCATACTAAACTTCCACCAGAAGTACCTTCCACTGAATATGGTGTCACATGAACAAGTGATTTTACATATGGCACAATGCATGGGGTGGAAACCTCTGGTGGAGAGAAAAGTTTAAATGCACCCTTGGAGCTGGCAGCTAAAGCAAAGCAAAAGCTTCCCCCACCCTCTTACAGCTGGTCTGCTTTAAGAGGTGTTCATCGTTTCCCTTGATGCTCCTTGCCTGCTTCAGCCTCATATGGTGCTAAATTACAGTACCCTCTGAAGTGAGGTTTGCATGCTGCTGTGGTAACAAGAATTGTCAGGTCAGTCACCATTTCAGACACTTGCTGTTCCTCATGCCCAACTACCAGTTGGTTCAGAAGTGCCAGTGTCACAGCAAGCCCCTGCTCTGGCCACCCTTCAGCTGCGCCAAGGGCAGCCCAGCCATGCCTGGGTTTCACTAAAGAAGTGAAATTGGAAGAATTACTGAATTGTAAAGCCCCTCATTCTCGATAGGGTTGTGAAGCACCCCTGATGTTGTTACTACCTTTGGTATATCTCAGCTAAGCTATTGTGAGCTGATGTGTGAACCTGCAGCTACCTTCTTCCTGGTCCATGACCTTAAGAGCTCATGAAGAGGAGCAAGGGGCTGCCTTACACCCTGTGACCCAACCTTTGACAGCCTACAGCCCAGACCCCTGGGTCAGGACACTTCCCAGGCGTGTCATGTTAACACAGCTGCAGCGAGGACCAGCTGGCTCTAGATCAGGGGACATGTGGCTCTGTGAGTGGCATGCAGTGATGGTGCTACTCTGCCCCTGGGCAGGGGCTGCAGCCAGGCAGAGGTGGCCCCAGCTTGCTCTGACCTTGCTCTGAGACACTCCTCTGGGCCATTTCCACTGGAGTAATTAATCAATAAGTGATGGTATTATTGTGTGGAATGGTTTAGGTCTGGAAAGCTGAGAAAGTCCTTGCTAACTATTGGGATGTACTTGTGTTTGGTTAAATAGAGGCCTGGAGGATGTTTGTCATTGAATAACACAGCAGAAAGGAATGCAGGAAAAACACTCTTTTACAAGTTCAGGACGTGGTCTGCAGCTTGTTACATTCCTGCTCTCACAGGAGCTCCGCACTGAGAAAATGGTTTAAGGGAACCGTCCCATTGGGCTCCTGCAGGAAAGCCTGGAACAATGGCCAACACAGGAAGGATATCACAGGTGGATACAGCACATCTGTGCCAAGGTGCAATGGCAGAAGAGAAGTTACCATGGCTCCAGCGGACACCAGATGTTTTATGACTTTTCAGTATGTTTTGAAAAGCATCCCATTGATGATCACAGAGCTGAGGAATAAGACTAATGGCAGACTGTGTTAATACTTGGAGCTGTACATAGTAAAGGTGATGTTTTGTAGCCTCTTCACCTTGAAGGTGGGAACTGAAAGAGGCTGAAGTGAAAAGTGGGGTGGAGATTATCTCTACTCTTGGGAGACCAGGATTGAAGGTTTAGGGCAAGGCTGAAGAAAAAGCTGATGCAAGTGGTTAGGGAGTTGGGATTTTGAGAGAATAAGATGTTCCTCAGGAGCACTGAGCTGATGGGCTCTCCAGGCACAGCAACTGCAGGGCAGCAGTGGTGGGAACAAGGCAAATCTGTGCCCTGTGATGGGAGTGTTGCAGCAGCTGAACCTTGGGGGTCAAATTTTCATCCTCTAAGCTCACCCCAGGAACCTTTCCCAACCCAACAGAGCTGCTGAAAGCCTCCATGGATTCCTGCCTGAGCATCAGTCAATGCAGAAAACAGCTTGGGCTTTTGAAGCATTCATCAGAGAACCAAGATTGTGTACCAGAACAGATAAGTCACAGGCAAGAGGGAAACTAAAAGAACTTTTCAGGCATGTAAGGCTGATAGGAAATCAGCCTTACGACTGGGCAAGGACACTTTCATCACTCATACACTGTCATAGTTCTGCTAGTGGTAAAAGTCATTTTATGGGCAGTGTGGTACTAGTGATTTACAGGGTTTCATTCTCCACAGCTGATACTTAGTTATCCTATTTCACAAGTATCAAAAATACTTTAATGTCAGAAAAGTAAATAAAACCTTACCACGAAGTGTAAGCATGAACAATGCTAAGTATCACTGGCTTTTGCCACTAGTAGTATGTATCACATTTAGGAGACTAGTTCTAGATGTAATTGGTATGGGAGCCTGGAGCAGATGGCCTAACATACTGGCATTTGCCAGTAGGTTATGAGCTTGATGCAATCATGAATATGTAGTAAGGTAGCAGGCATGTCACCTTTCTGAGGGCTGAAAAGATCTTGGCTAAATCCCAGCAAGACATGAGGGAAAACCCAGGAGCAGATTTCAACATGATAAAAATTGAGACCCTTCCTTCTGTTACTTAAAACATTTTCTCTGATATAGGACAATAATGACTTGGAAATAATATATGCATCCTTACTAAGGGTTCTGAATTATTCCTGTGTTATTTCTGTCTGATTTAAATTGGTTGAATAGCTATGGGATCATTCTGCTGTTACTGTGGTGTTTGCAAGCTTTCAGATTCACTGCATATGCCCTTGTGTTTGTATTTATATTTGGGATTCTCCCAAAGTTTTGCAGGACATAGCACATCTCCAAGGATTGTTATTCATTATTTAAAACCCACTGAACTGAAATCCAAATTCCATCCATTCACTGCTGGCCATTATTTATTTTCCATTCATAAGCTTTCAGCAAGTAGCGCCAGGCAGCATTCAGGCATCGCAGCAGCCAAGAGGTGAAGTAAGCTTTTCACGAACACGTTGCAGGCTGATAGTCACCTGCAGACACTGGTTGGTGAATCATACTGAGCAGTGAATACACCCTGAACATCAGGATCCTTTCACATGCTGAAGGAAGTGTTGCAATTTTACTCATCTGATCTGCACATTGCTCTGTGGAGGCTTTCATCCCAGCTTGCTTCTTTTTACAATAATTCAGGGACGTATTATGAAATCTGAAATTCTGCTAAATTCAAGCAAACTTCTTGCTGAGTATGACATTTAGGATCTTAATTCTGAAGAAGATATGTCAAATATATGCCTACATAGCAACACTCTAAAATGTGAATTTACTTGGGGTTGCAAGAACAATCCTACACATGAGTAATACAGGGCTGTACTGAGACAATGCAGGAGCATGCACTGCAGCTGTAAAAGTGGAAGGGAGACTACAGTTCCACAGGGTTTTCCTGTCACCTCTGCAGCCTTGTAAGCCCATTTGTGTGGAAGTGCAGAGTTAACAGCTAAGGACAAAAGATGTTGCCTGTGGGTGAATCTTACCATGATAATTATAATGTCACTTTTGCCTGGATAATGGCAAGTGCCGGGGAGGACGTGCGGAAAGAGAGAGAAGCCTCTTCACTATAAATATTTCTTGCTGAAAATATCCTGGAAGAAGCATTTCCGGGTGTCTCAGAGCACCAGTGTTGGTATTGCTTAGATGGCAGTGACACCCTGTGGTACCAGCCGCTGGTGCAGCCCTCGGCGGTGGTTTCTTCAGGAAGTCGTCCTGAACAAAAAAAAAAACACAACAGGGATGTTTTTAATTCACCTTCACAGACCACATCCTCCTTCCTCCCTGAGTGCCTTTGCACTAAGCAGGATGTACCTTTCTGGATTTAAATGTCCTAGAAATAGCTACTGCCTCTTTCCGAGCATTTGTGTAGTGCCTGTGTGGTGAGTCTCTCTGTTTTGACTCACATCTCTTGCCTTTACAGTAGGAGGAATCAGCTGTAGTAACAAACCATTATCACATCACAGTGCACCTTTGCTATACAACTCAGTGAAAATGCTTGCTGCCATTATGTTTGCCCTGCTGAGCAATGAATGCTGATGGTTGGAGGGGACAGTGCTCATCTGGGTATTTTCTCTCTTCCAGGGGGTTCACGAGTCAAAAGGTGTGACTGAAGATTATTTGAAACTGGAATCCCTAATCCAGAAAGTCGTTTCTCCTTACTTGGGCACATACGGTCTGTATTCCAGTGATGGACCCTTCACGCACTCTTCCTGTATCTTGGGTAAGAATGACAGAGGCTTGATCTGACAGCACAGGGGGCTTCACCAAAACATTGGCTCACACAGGGCCAGGGCCCACACAGGTGGAGACTGCCAGTAATAACTCAATATGGTCAGGCTCCTTTTCTAAGGTCATACTCTTTGCAATGTGCAAAGCCACAGTGGAACTTTACAGAGGCAGAAAATGACAAAGGATCATCATAACAGTGCTCATAAATGAATCTGATTCTGGAGTGTGTTTAGCATTTCCTTTTAGTGAGAGAGCTTTAACACAGGATGCTTTATGAACAGTGAGAAGAAGAAGCAAGAAGCCATTTCTAGAGCACTGAGTAGTACCTGTGCATTAGTGCTCAAAGATCATACAAGACTGTTTAAAACAGGAAATAATCTTAGAGGAGGCTAACGGATAAGCCTTCCAACATGTAAAAGCTTTCTCCAGAGTAATAAGCTGTTCTTCAACCCACTGGAGATAAAACAACAAAGTAGACCACACATAGCAGAGGAAATTCAGATTACATGGAAGAAAAATCTCTAATGCCACATAAAACACCTCTGGAGGCTGTTAGATCTTCACTGCACTGTATACATGTCACATACATAGGCATCTGTAAGGAACAAGGTGGGGAAACATGGTCCTGCCTGGTGGCAGAAGCTGAGTGATGGACCCTCTTGAGTCCCTTCCAGCTTATTTTCTGTGATTCTTTGAGCTCTGAAGCATTCAGTGAAGGCAAGATTTGGTGAAGATGAAGGTTTTTTGATTATCCCATGCAGTAATTAAATCTGTTGAAATTGCAAGGGGACACTACCAGCATAAATCAAAAAGGAAATGTGGTAGTCCCTGAGTAATTCAGTGTAAATACTGTGATGTCCTGCTTGAATAGAGAAAACAGAGGGGAAAATAAGTTCAATTGTGTGTTTCCTGTGCAGTCAATTTAATCTGTTTGCTTGTCAGAAATGGTCAATAAGGTAGATGATTTTCCCTTGAAGCCGAGTGGAAAAATGGTTGTATTGCATTTGGTGTTAAAGAAATAAATCAGTTTTACATGAGTAAATAGAGGCCAATTATTTATGGAAAATGGCTTGGGATTACTACTTTGTATTCATTGCTTGCCATTAAAAGGCCACACACATTTAAAAGGAGCCCCAGATTGGTGTTTTCAGAATACAAGCTTTTGTATGTTAGGGCAGAAAAAATGCACTCAAAAAAAGAATAAAACCCCAGTGAAATTTATTGTTAGAAAATACATGTAGTATTACATGACTGTGGAGTGCCTAAGTGCTGCATTTAAACTAGCACATCTTGTTCTGTCCCACTCTTTTGGTAGAATGATTTAAAGCTGTGACATACCATCCTTTGGACTGATGAGGTCGCTGACCTCTTTTCTTCCCTGTCTGGCCAGCACACCCAGGCTTTCCTTCCACTCAGGCCTTGGTGTGAGCAAAAAGCCAGTGTTCCTGTGGCAGGACAGCCCCAGGGAACCTTTTCTGTTTGCCAGGTCAAATTCCTAACAAAGAAAAAGTCCAAAAAGTGAACTTGGCTCAGTTGATTTCACTACTGAGGCAGACACAACTGCAATATGCAAACTTAAATACAGAAACTGGTGGGTTTAGTAGTACAGCATACAACTGGAATTTGTGTCCAATTTATACATCATTTATACTGGCATTTGTAAAGGAAATAGTGTGGGTTTCAGCCTGACTTAAAGCAGGCAATTTGTATGTAGTGGCTGTGGTTGACTTTCAGAGTGTAATTAGGTTCCCTTCTCCAGGCTGTACCCCTTTCATGGCAATGGCAAAGTGTGAATAGTAGGAAGAAAGCTTCAAAAGTGAGACCTATTCTTCACACTGTTTTTTTCTGTGGTACAAGTGAGTCTGAGCATTGAGGTCTGCAGTAAGTTTGCATGATGATCATTTTGGTCTAGCTGCTGGAGAGCACTCCAGCCCTAAACCACCGGTGGAGGATCTCCGTGCTGACTTGCTGCCACCTGCTGCTCATTCTTTGGAAAGAACCCACTTGGCTAACAGAAGTAGTCATACAGTCACTGCCACATTGAGTGCAGGTTTGCTCCCCAGAAAGGTTGCTGTGGGCACTGCCCTCCAGTTAACATCTCCAGACACTCTTGGTGCTCTCTCATTCTGTGGTCTCTGAATGATGCTTTGAATCTAAGTTCTTTAGTAAAAATGCCTGTATTAATCCTTGTGCCCTAGATTTGAAGACACCTGATTTTCCTGAGATGGTAGAAAAGTTAAAATTTCAACTACTATAAATTAGTGATGAGCTTCACAGCCTGAATAAGAACAGAATTGCACTTTCTGGTCTTGCCTGAAGAAAGTATTTGCAATTGTATGTCAGGTCCCCCACAATATTTACTGGTTTACTCCAGCTGCTGAAGTTGTATGAATATAAGGAAATCTCAGCTATTATTTGTAAAGACAGGTTTGAGGTCTTCAATATGCTAAAGAAATCTAGGAAATCTGAAGCCCATTGATCTACTAAACTAGGAAAATGTATTCTCTTATAAAGGGGTCTGTCAGACAGCAAAAGCTCAGGGATATGACTTTTCTTTTTAACACTGGTAATTATTACTACCATGATAACAGGCAGCTTTGAAAATATTACTCTGGATCTTTCTCTCTTCACAGAAAAGCGGTTCTTCAGGCGTTCAAAATCAGGTGACATCCTTGCCAAGAACCCCGTGGTGCGATCGAAAAGCTACAATAATCCGCTGCTGACACCAGTGGCCGAGTATGAAACCGAGGGCATGGCTGCCAATGGAACAGGCATCCGAAGGCACTCTGTTTCGGAAATGACCTCCTGCCTGGAGCTCCAGGGGTACTCCAACCTCACCACCATCATGGACAACGGTTCCAAGAGCTCCATGACAGCCACGAAAAGCTCGCTGTCAGGAGACCAGGAGAGGCCCAGCACCGGGCCAGTGCAATGCTCTAGCAAACTCAGCACAGCTGAGCAACAGAAAGGACACTTCCACTCAATGGACGACCCACATAGGTCTTTTGAGCTGGACAGGGACCCTTCCTTGATTCCAGTTCCCTCTTCCAGCCCTGAGAACATAGTGGATCAGATTTTGGAGTCAATTGACTCTGATTCTGAAGGCATTTTTATTGATTTTGGCCGAGGCTGCTCCAATTCATCAGCGTACAATGTGGACGTGAACAGACAGAGCATCATGTGAAGGACATTAGGAGACAAACCTCGGAGTTTAATATAATATATGAAAGTTACTAGCGCACTGAGTTGGACTATGGGCAAGCTATGTATGTCTAGGGCAGAACCTCTGTTGTAGGTCATCACATCTGTACTGAAGTACGCAGACACAAGTTGACAGCTGGCAGGAATCTGCTGCAAGAGGGAAGAAACTTCAGTGCCATTTCTCCCTGTCTCCATCACTTTGCAGTTGGATTTCCTGTTGTCTTTATAAACGTAGGGGTTCAGAAGCTGACAAGTGTCTGGTGAAAAGCTATTAGTACAGCTGGCAGTGTTTGTTCAGTAAAACAGCCTAGCAAATAGCTGTGTTCACTTTTAATTTTCTCAGGAGATTTCCTGTAGACGGCAGGTTGTTCTCTGAACTGTAACACCTCAGCCAAAGTAAAAAAAATATCCTTTTAAAAAAACAAAAAAGCCCAGAGGCTGTGGGCCTTCATGCCACAGAATCCAGTGATAAAGAAGCCTATTTTAATCTAGTACATCTTGTATGCACTCCTTTGCCTAATGGTGAGTTTTCTTGAATTAAGGCAAATAAACAGAAATGTGCTACCTGATGTCACGCGATGCCTCATGTCTCATGTTCTGTTTCACAGCCAATACCTTGTGTCTGTGGGAGAGTTGTCTTGAAACTGGCTTTTAAGACCATGTTAATTTGCTCTGAATGTGGCACTTCGAAGAAATCTGTGCACTGTTAACTCCTGGAACATCCATTGTATGGAGCAATTCCAGCAGAATTCAACTTGTTTCCTAAATAAATAAAAATATGGCCTCTTGGTGGAAATTCTCATTATATATTCTTAAAGAAATACAATAATGCATATATTGCCAATTATGTATTGATATTTGGGGATTGTGAACCTTGGAGCTCTTCTCTTCCTGAGCACTCCCAGCTCTTTGATCCTCCCTCACAGTAACATGCTGTTGTAAGAGCGGTGTCAATGGTTTTACAGAAGATTGATATACATGGGTAAAGTAGAAATCCTGATGCATTATAGATTTTTTTATTAGGTGGTTTTCCAGTTAATAAAGAGCTCCTTCAGATCACTCCATCCTAGGCATCTCCTCCGGAGGAAAGAGTCTGGTGGTAACTCCTGAGCTGCTCAGCAGAGACTCATCATCAGTTCAGTCTGGCAGCACCTGCTGCTTAGTTCAGGTGCTCAAGGACTCTCCAGTTTTGCTCCACACTTGCATGGCTGACCCCAGCATTCGCCAAACTCTTCCGCAGGCTTTGATTACATTTCTAGGCTCAGGGCCCCACTTCTGATACTTGATTTCTTTTGGCCTCGCTACTTGATCTTTCGGAAAGTGTTAGCTCAATCTTTTGCAACCACCCTACTTCACTGCTGCAGATTTCAGCTTCCAGAGAGATGTGCAGGCTCCGCATAACACAGAGATTTGAGAACTACGGAATCCAGCTGTGGAAGGAGCCCCGTAAATGAGGCAGGGGGTTAGTGTCTGCTTCGTTTCTTTGTGTTTGGCATGTTCAGCTGGGCAGCCTCCCCTACAGGTAGGCACATAAGTTACGTCATATTTCATAGTTTCCTTCAGACAGAGATAATTGCTTCTATGTTCCAACAGACTCAAACCTAACAGTCGGGGAACACTCTTGGATGAGACCATTGGATGTGGGGCAAAGTCAGTGGGGAGGGACTTAACAGCAACTGGCAGAAACACAGGTGCAGCAGAACACGCCCTCAGCAAGAGCAGCCTGGATGCCTGTATGGCATCCCTTAAGTCGGCTCTTTAGGGTCAAAGCTCAAGCAGCAGAAAAATCTTCTGTAACCTTTCAGGAGCAACAGCAGCAGCAGCAGCAGCAGCAGCATGTAAACCCTTCAAAAGATACAGACCAAGGTCCAGGACTGCACTGGAGAAGGGCAGAAAAGCAAATCAAAACCAAATCAAACCTAGTCCTGCCTCACCCCACCCACAGAACTGTGACTACCAGCTATGATAGGGTTAAATGAGTATTTAAGGAAGTTGGGTTCGGACCTGTTAGGATTCATTACTTGATGTTGAGATGTCCTGTGAGGGCTGCTGAGCTGAAGTAAAAGGGTTGTATTTTGGGGGATGAAGAGGCTTTAAATTGGCTTAAAGTAAGTTAACCTGATGATGGTGTAATGGAGCTCGCTGAGCTCTGCTCTTGCTGTGGTTTAGAGCTTGCTGAACTAAGCTTGTCTTTGCTGGCAAATGTGGTATCACAAGTGTTTTGTCTGCTATGCTAAAGTTCCCATACTGGGGTAATGCTAAGGAAGGAGCAAATGAATTCCAACTTAGCGGTTGCAGCTGAAGTTTCAGGGGTCTTTTTTAATTAAAGAAAATGTTATTATCTTGGTGGGGTTGCTTATGAAGAGCCTAAAATTCTGAAGTCAAGAGTTAAGTTCCTTACTGCAATGGTGATAGGGTGGCATTTTGTCTGTCCTTCAAGTTTATATTAAAATATGTAGGCAGATACAACTGTAAATTGAAAAACTGGGTGTGATGGTCTATCTGATGCCTGTGAAAGCCACCATCTCCATTGTCCTCAGAGATGATGTTTCTCATCATCTTGTTCCCCAAGAAGTAGCATGACTTGGGGCAATGTGTTCTCCGTAGGCAGATGCAAGTGCAGCTGTGCTTTACCTCTGTGCTTTGAGGTATGTCTGGTTTGTAGCTGCAAGAGCTCATGTGTGTGAATGTGCAAGGTGTGGAGTGGTGTAATCAGACCTGGCCCTGGGAGGACCAATCATGCGAGTGATGCTGAGCCAGGAGTGTGCAGGCAATCAAAGCCCAGTGTTCAGTGACTTAAATCCTGCACAGACATGAGACTAACCTGATTTGTGATTCATCTATTAGTAATCCCAATGCAGGCAGGTCCCAGATGGGGTGGTCTAAGAGGCAAATCATGAAGTCATTACAAATATGTGGATCAAAGAATAGCGCAGGTTCTTGCCAAAATATATTTATGAAGTGATGGCTTTCAGCTTTCAAATACTGCTACATGAAGTGTTCCAATTCACCAGTGGTACTCAAGCTTTGTTGCTAAGGGGCATTCTCTGTATGCTAGTTATTCCATTCTCTGTATGCCAGTTATTCCTCTCCACCCTTTCTTTGTTATGATAAACTGTGGCATTTTGTATTCTAATCCAAAAAAAATCAAAAGCTCTCTGCAATTTTCCTGGTTGGGATGGCTTCCAAAATCCTACGAGAGATAATACAGAGCAACAGATAGCACTTAAAGCTCCTGTCATATGGCACTGCAGGGTGAGCATTATGCAAGCAAAAGGAACTGGGAGACTAACCTAATGAACAGCTTCTGAGCTCTGTGTAATACAGCTCCCTGGAGCACAACTGGAGATAACGGAATAATTGGCTGCAAATAGTGCTGCCCAAATACAGGGCTTTTTTTCCTAAGAAAGGGGGAAAATGACTTTACATTATTCAATTAGCTCCTGGCAGGCTGGTTTTGGTAGTGCTTTTTGACTAAAATAAATGCACAAGCCCATACCATCTGAAGCACTAAGCTGTGGTGAGAGAGACTATGGGCTGTGTTCTCCTAGGGCCACCATGTCGACATGTGACAATACGAAAATACTGGATACCTCTCAAGTTCTGGTTAGAGATGCATGGATTACCTCTTTATTAGGATAATATGCTGTGAGAACACCTTGGAAATAAAGATGTCGGAAAGCTCTTAGTGTTTTTTTTTTTTGAGCTCTGGTCTGCAGAGGTGTGACTGTCATTCTAGAACTTTTCTCAAAGTATCAAAATTTGGAGGTGGGGAGCGAAAAGCCAGATATCAGTTGAACTGGCACTGCTGCAAATAACATATGCAGCTATCTTAATAATACAGAAATCCTTGCTACCATGCTCTCCAGGAGAATAAAATGCTAGCTTTACAATTGGAGTCTTTTTTGCACAAAGGAAAATCTGCTTCTAAGAGGGCAATAAGTATATTTTGCCTTGAAGAGCTTTCTAACATCCCTTTGTCTTCACATGCTGTGGTAGCAACAGCAGCAGATTGCTGTGCTGAGTGGTTTGGAAGTTCCTAGACTACTCTTCCTGTACAAAGGGAGGAGAAGGTGCTTGAGGCTGGAAGAGCAGGCCAGCATCTTGAGCTGGGCACAGGGTGGAAAGTGCCAAGAAAGCAGCGGTGCCATTGTGTTCCCTAAAATCAAACTTGGATTAGAGCTGCTCAAGACAGTTTGCCTTAACTGGCAGCAGGCCTCAGGAAACCACAGACCACCTGGGTTTTTTGGGGCTGCTGTGGCTCACTTGCCAGCCTACCCTTCCCAGGAGCATGATGCAGAGAAGAGCTGCCAGGGAACACCTGCTGTAGTCATCCAGTGTGGCTCCTGGTCCCTACGTAAGGCCTGAAGGACGTCAGGCTCTTGTCTGTTTTCTGGCAAAATCAGACAGAATAGTTATCTCTGAGGGATGGAGATTATACCAACTGATTGAACTCCTCAAGCTATTGAGAGAAGGCCCAGACAGTGGTTCAAATATTTTTTATGGCCCCAGGATACTGGAAACAAGTGGACATGAACTCTTCCACATGCTGTATGTTGGCCTAGTTGCTCCATCAAAACTGATGTTTAAACTCACTGGTTTCATCAGAGTCAAGCTAATGCATCATCTCCCTGAATCACATATGTGGTTTAAAGCTGCTGCTTACTCCTGTGCATCACTCTCAGAAGCCACTTTTTGGGGTGATCAGCAGAAAGGAGCTTGCTTTGACTGAGTATCTTAATGTCATAATTACACTGGCATTTTAATATTCTTCAGGCAAGTAACTTGACTGGTAATTAAATAATGAAAATAGCTTATTCTTTCACAAAGGGTGCACCCCTCAGGTCTTGTGTTGCATAATTGGATTAGCAAGTTGGCTGCTTGCCTCCTTATAGCAGCATTGCCTACCTGAGTGAGGAACTGCCAGGATGCCCTGCCAAAGCCAGAGGAGAGAGGGAAGGGAAAACTGGGTGTGTGAACAGCCATGGGACTGCTGGGGTAATAACCTCCCAGAGGTTTTTGCTAGTTACCTTCATAAAATTAGGTATTGGAGGCTAAAGTTGTATTTCTGTTACTGAGGGTCTGCATCAGCATTTTCACCCTCAGGCTGCTAACTGTTTCAGAATATATTTAGTTCCTAATTATTCTGTGACTTCTAAAATAAGTCCTAGCCCTCTGAACTGTGGGTTTGGAAGTCAGGATTTGAAGGGAGTTCTTAGGGCACTGGTGTCTTTACAGTGAAGATCAGTCTTGGGATCAGGTTGGTGCGCTGTAACTCAGAAACTGAGATGGCTTAATTCCATGTCCTCCACAGGTTTTTGCATAGATTTAAGTCACATAATAGCTCTATATCTCTTCAGAACATGGGGATAATGTTCTTATCCGTCTTTCCTACATTTTAAATTGCTGAGTGGATTGTCTGTTGCTTGAAGGTTTTGTGATAAAGCATGCATGACAAGAGGAGAGGAGGCAGTCTATTACAGAATGTTTGAACAAATATTAGCAATACAACCCTAATTCTTGTGTATTTAACTTTGTTGCAATCATATTTTTTAATGTAGCTGCATCACTGATTTAGGTCTATACATGATAATTAATTCTTATTTATGATCCATTCCCTGTCTGCCTACATGCTTTGTTTGGCTTTTCTCCTCAGCAGCAATCTTTGCTGACATGTTTACAATTACACTAGGCTGTTTCTTTAGCTGATGTTACCTCTAATACTCTGTGAGCTTTGAGCACCTTGTGGGGTTTTTCCCCTCAGCCTTTGTTACTTTGTTCTTATCAGCATCAAGC